TAGCGTTTTTTAATAATTATAATGTTTTCGGCATTATTGGTCATTCTGTTCCACCCTGTATAAATATGTGATATTCACTAATACTTAATAATATTACGTATGTAATAATTATTACGTATGTCTTTTATTTATTTTTTAATTAAAAATTAAGTGCGCATTTGACCTTCGTCTCACCTGATGGAAAGTGACGATGAGGTTGAAGATCGAGCATGCACACCTCAATAATACATATTCACTCTCCCCTTGAAAAGGTCAGGCAGTAAATTCCACTCCATAGTCGTTCGCTATAAAATGTAATAAAAAGTGCAACGCTTCGTGCGAATCTGCGAATATCCACAACAACAACAAATGTCAACAACAACAACAACGAAATGTCTTTTTGCAAAATTTAATTTTTACATTTTTTACATCTTTTGATATTTATTTATTTTTGTTTTGGCATACCAGCACTTATACAGAAAAAGATAAGAGGGACGTGCTCGTATCAATTTCCAGCCCCGGTTGCGATTAGGGAAAACATTTCTCTGTTATCCTTTCTGGCATGATGCCGAAGGAAACAACTGGGAAGAATTGCTACCCCGGTGGCGCAGATAATAATTTTTCCAACGACAATGCTAGAGGGGGCTATTGAGCATAATCCCTCCCGGTGCATCTAGACTCAAGTGAACGAGGCTCGCTCTTCGCGGAGTTCTGTCTGGCATGCTTTTGGTGTTATTCCTTTGGGATAGCAGTGAAAAATTGATTAGTTTTATTTATTTTCATCATAGGTTACCTACAATGCGCCTCTTGTGGTGGATTTCTAATATATGTATGTTCTTATTTTTTATAATGATTGTTCACATCTTATAAGTCATAAAAAGGTGATCGGATATTTTACTTTAAGAACAGTATCATATCTTATTTAACATAGGATAAAGATTGAACACCAAGGACAATTTCTTCAATCTGTCAGGATTCGAGACACGGTCTGTATTTGACCAAATTATGTTCACCGCTCTACCAAAAGAGTCTCAGATCGAGTCTGTAAACCTAACGAATTTCTCTATGTGTTTGTTAAAGATCTTTTGTACTGGGTTTTTTCAGCTTTTATCGCTGGAAGCGACGCCTGTGGGATTCTAACAAACCTTCTCACTGAGCTCGTATGTTTGCAGCTACCAGACACTGACGTGTGATGTCGCTGTATAAATATAATATTGATTTTATTAAATGTAATGTTGTTTTACTCCTACGGTATTAATTTACAAAATATGTTGAAAGTTTTGTGATACTTACTACTAGGGCCACTAGACGCAGGTTTAAGTCATGTCAGATCGAAGGAATTAGTATTAATTAATTATAACAAGTGTACGAACTACAGAGGGCGGCGTTGATGAGAGACCTGCAGATCCAGCGAACATCCTTAGGTGCTATAAATTGTATATTAAGCAATCCCCACACGAAACAGGCAAAAAAACATTTACTATTTGTTGAATCGGCTCTCCAACAGCGCCACCTAGACATGTAAACTATAGTTTAGGGTACGATGGAACTGGCATATACATTGTTTATAAGTTCCTAAATAAATAAAGATAAAAAAAAGTAGAAGTAGTAATTATAGCATGGAGTAACGTCACAAAAGATAAATTAATTTTGTGCTAGTAAAACATTCAATAATATGTAAATATTCAATAAAATCTTTAATTTATTTTTTTTACTTTTTTTACAATACTTAGTGACGGGATGAACAGGTCGTGCGCCTGGTGGTAGTGATGAAAGAGACTTAGTCTTTTAAGGTCTTTTAAAAAACTTCGATTAATTTTCAACTCTTCACGACTAGTCTAGTCTTTTAACCCTCAAGTCTTGAGTCATAAGACTAAAACTGAAGACTAATTCGAGTCGAAGTCTGTTAACCTTAGGAAGCTTAAAAGACTTACAGGACTAAAACTACCAAAAAGACTAAGGGGTCGTATTCCAGAACTCTTCTCAATGCTCGAGTCAGGATTTGAGCAGACTTGAGTATAATTTCAAGCACTGGAAATACGACCCTAATGGCAAGGACTTGAGTATGATTTTCAGTGCTCACTGCAATACTCAAGTCCTGACTTCAGTATTGAGTAGAGTTCTGGAATACGGCCCTAAAACAACTAAAACGACTGGCGCCTCATAGCCTCGGGAGTCGCGAGGCATGAGTCGTATGGCGTGATTTCATTCATCCCCACTAGGTGATTATTTTACGATTTTTATTATAAGTAAATAAATGTGTTTATTTACTACATACTACTTACGTCATTTTTATTTATAAACTTCGGGTTTAATAAGATATAAAATAGGTATAAGTCCTTTGCAAACAACTCGAGTCGTTTAAGTCGTTCAAGTTTTTAGTATAACGACTGAGTCTATAAAGACTCGAACTCCCAGTCTTAATTTAAAAATCGAGTCCTGTAAATTGGAGCCGAGTTGTTATAAAACGCTTTAAAAGACTGAGTCTCTTTCATCAATACCTGGTGGTAAGCGTCACGGCTGTCCATAACAGTTGCAATGCCCCTGATCACCCTGAGACATAAGTTGAAGTCTCATGTAATTTAATTAATATGCAATGTAAACCTGTAACTTCACCAGCACTAAGGGTGGCGGGACATTCAAACCTGGAACGCAGTAACGTGCGCATTACTGCTTGGCGGCAGAAATGGATAAGGTGGCAGTATTACCTTGGATGAACTCTTTCACAAGGAGCTTTATTACTACAAGAATATGCAAACAATGTAAATATTATAATTATGACCTATTTACTAACTAAGAGTTACTCTGATACAATATGTGGATGAAAAAAGTAAAGTCCAGATAAAAATTGAGTCCGTCTTTGTGTTTTTCAGCCTCCGTCTGTGTTCCCCGTTTGACATTGTGGGAACTAGTTCTTCTGTTATAATAACTGTCAATTAATAAAATTATCGAAATTTCTTTCCTTTTTTACCGTGATTTTTAATTCGACAATTCGTTTTTGCTACAATTGTGATGCTATTGTAGTAAACCCAATACACAGAATGTCACACGACTATGCGACACGGAGAAAAAGTACTTAGGTACTTTTTAACCGACTTCAAAAAAGGAGGAGGTTCTCAATTCGTCTGTATGTTCTTTTTTTGTATATATGTTACGCGATAACTCTGGTATTTGTGAACCGATTTTCATGATTCTTTTTTTGTTGGAAAGGGGGTACTTCCATAGTGGTCCCATTTCATTTTGAAGAAAAGCATCCACCTCGAAGGGTGGCTGTTCACGCATGAAGATTCATTTTTAAAAATGGCGCCTAACTTTAATTTAGGAGCAATTACTTTAATGGTTGATTTTGCTATTTCTCCAATTCAAGGCGTTTTTCTCTCAATATACTTTGAGTAGTGAGGACCGATTTTTATTATCTCCAGTGCCAAGTCCTGTATAGTCGCGAACTAGGGGATATTTCAATAAAACTTAGCATATAGACGTAATTCCACTTACTTTTGAGGTCGGTTTTTTTAGTACTCTGTACTGAGATTACTGTCAAACATGTTCGAAAATGTTTGCATTAGTATACTTTCAAAAAACGAACAATAAGTTTGTCATTTATGGACCGTGCAACTTCTTTCCGGCCAAGGCCTGCAAAGTAAGTATGAAAATGAAAATCCAATAATGTCCGTTGCTATAAACTTTTAAATCTGTCTATTAACAATTGACTAACAATGAACTATGTAAACAGGCAAAAGAAAAACTTTGCAGCCAACTACCCAGTGTTCGTAATTGCGAGAATTAAAAATACCTACATGTACTGCTTACTTTAAAAAAAGAAAAGAAAAAGGGGGTAAAATAAAGTGTTTTGGTCATTGACTTACAAATAAATGGACGGCGGGTCTAATACAAAAACCACGAAAAAATGTCCCATGTCAACCTATTTAAACGTAATGACATGTAAACGAATATGAAAAAGCTAAAACGTTGAATTTAAATTGTAATGTCATCGCAGTACTGTCTAATTTTGCTTGCTTCGCTGTCAGTCGAACAAACGAAAACTAAAGCGTGAATGACGCTCTGTGTACGATTTTAACGCCCTATAAGTTCGGACACTTTTTAGCGCGGATCCGACGTCCATACAATTGTAAGTCAATGGTTTTGGTATTCTTTATTTTATATTAATTAATTATTCTTTATTTCTTATATTATTTATCTTCATCCCTTTAGTCTGTTATTATTTCCTCACATTGTTTCAGAAAAGCACTATGAATACCTCGGTGGGAACGGGGATTGCTTGACTTGTATTAATAAAACGCTTCGCTGGCCTTGTAACTCACATTCGTCCAGCCATCCCTTACCTCTCCTCTGCAATAATTCCTCTGCAATAATGTACCATAAATATTGTAGATAGGATATTTTGATTCATGGGGATATTATTTAATATTTAAAGATTCCAGGTGAGGCCAGCATTTTTAAGTCTTTGAATGATGTACAATACAATGTAATATAAAAATTATTTATTGTACACTAAAAAAATGTACAATATAATTAAATTAAAAATAAGCAGTGGTACAATGGGCGGTCTTATCACTTTAAGCGATTTCTGCCAGAAAACCTTTGGATGGAAGTAATTATATAATTCACAGGAAAAAGACGTGTAATGTACTTGTACTTATGTACTTACTTTTAAAAAAAGAAATGTTTTCATGAAGCAAAATATTCTGTCTACAATATTTAAAGTACTTTCCCTCCGTGTTGCATAACCTGCATATTATTATATTTCTATTACTGTTATTTTTTTCTTTTTTATGTTGATACGAGTTAGTTCTCTTTATAAGTTTGACGTTCATTCAAGTTATCAATTGTATTGTCTATTTTCGAATTGCAAGTAGTATTTATTCACGTTTAACTGTTTGGTATGTTACTTTTAAGTCTGTCCTAGCAAAAATTCCGAAGATTGTATCTAATAATGTACTCAAACATTGGTAAATAAAAACGAAAGGTTTAGAATAAAAATAATCATTATTAGTACAGCTTAAATTTGCCTGTATATATTTATAAATTTATACACATTTATTTGAGAATGAAATGGATTATTACTTGGAAACCTTAGTCTTAAAGTAACCCATATTGTTAGCTTCTGTGACCAGCCCAAGCATCATTTGTGTGACCTCGTCACCTTGTTCAGGAATCCTTGAGGGAGGCCAGTGGAAGTTTTTTCCTCGAAGCTCATAGGTGTACACCAGAGGAGTGGCAAGGGTGTTGCGTACCCAGTCCATGCTCCCACCTGATACCATATCTGTTGATTTGTAATGGTTTGTTATGAGATTAAGGGTGTAATTACATTTAGTGCCTTTCGATAACATTGGATGGAAAAGCCTTCATAAAGAAATTGAATTGTGGTGTTGATTGTCAGTCTCATATCATTCTACATAAGTTTTGTTTATAGTGCCTCTCCCTATCAACCTCTTGGTTATGCGGGAAGGGCACTGTGATCTGTGCGAGCGAGCTCGCACAGGGACAATCTAAGTCAGGTCCTAGCCCGGATCAGTACGTTTACCACGTAATTCGCCCGGTTCTCTGGAAGGCTAGGTGAGCCACCACGGGTGCACGTACAGCACCCTCCCGATTTTCCAGATAGGTACCGGAGTTGCAGGCACGCTCACTTCCCGTCACGCTCCGCACGACTAACGGTTACCACCGCTGAGCCGCCGACTCTAAGCCGACTACCAAATCTCCTAATTGGTGGCGGAGCTGTAAGGCACGCTCACTTCCTAACGCTGAATGAACGGCGTCACTCCAATTCCCAAATTCCTACGCGGCCGGAGGGACCTGAAAATGTCTAGCTCATCCTCTATTAGCTCTCCGGGCTAGTGCCGGAGATGCCAAGTGGCAATGTCCTGCAACAATGCCCGGACATAGCCACCGACTTAAAGGGCAACTCACGTACCCCGCGCGTCTTCTCGCGTCAGGCCCTCATCTAGACCGCTACTAAGACAAGCTAGCTGCACACGAGACAAACGCCCCGGTCACACACCACCGGGTCAGAAGAACGTGTTCGTCCCTGCAGTTAACCACAACCTTCCATCCATGCGCAAGTTTGGGTCCGCCAGAGACACCCGTGAGGACTGGCGGAGGGCTTGGCCCGGACGCCCGCCGTACCCTTTTTTTTTTTTGACGGGGGGAAATCTTTATGGATACCCCTGAGCCCAGGGAGACTCAGGGGTTATGTGGGGACTCTCCCTCCAGCCTGGAGGGCCTACCCCAACAAAACCCCCCCCGACTTTTCCTCTCGCCGGTTGAGTCGGCGCCGTGGGATCAGTGAACATTCACCACGACGCCGCCCGGCCACCCTAGCTTACGCCAGGGCTCCCGCGCCAACGGAGGGGCGAGTCGGTTGTCCTCCGACCCGCCCCCCAGACGAGTGAGGCCGTGCAATGCAGGCTCCGGAGTCCCTGTCCAGAGCCCGCTGGTCTCACTAGGGGATCAGGCGAGCAGCGAACTGCCTTCGCCTTCTCCCCGTACGTCTGCGCCGAAGCGGGTGCGCGTCCATACCACGCCACAGGACGAACAACTCGTGCGCCTGGTAGTAAGCGACACGCCTATGCATGACAGGCTCCCCCGAGGCACTAGCATCTAGAGAATCAGATGAAGTCTGTGGCAACGGTCTGTGACAACCATGTACACTGGCTGATCTGGGGTCAGAACCTGAACTTAGAAGGATCCTGTGCACGCACATGTTATAGATGCCATGGATACACACATAGACAACCACAAATGATACCCAAACTCACAAGAGAAACAAATGAAGGCCATACAAATATTTCTCTCGGCTGGAGAATCGAACCTGGGACCTCTGCGTGGCAGTCCGACTTGGTAACTGTTCGGTCACGGAGGCAGTTATCCATCAGGAGGGAGATATCCATGACTGAATGCTTGGCGGCATAAATTAGTAAGGTGGCAGTACTTCCCTTGACGAATTCTTTCACAAAGAGTTCTACTGCTAATGTAATCATCTGGAGGAAGATGTGCAACTTACACAGAATTTCAGCAGCAGTTGCAGGTCCGTTGTATTTTTCTCTATTCACTTTGTAACCGTAGTCCAAAGATGTTTTCCCGATTGTAACCTGCATGAGAAAATTCTTTGAGTTCAACGGTAAAACAATTTGGTACTGAGGTTCTTACATTAGTACAGTCGATGCGGTAATATTCCTGACCCCCTAGCCGACCTTTTGGTTCTGAGAGTCTTCTTACGCATTGAATAGAAAAGTAAAGAAATTCAAGCTGTCTGGTTGAAATTTGTATTTATAATAATAATAATAATAATAATAATAATAACGCACACACTCAACATAGCCCCGCACTAGGGAAACCCTGTGTCGCGGGTGCCATGGACACACACATAGACAACCACAAATTACACCTAAACTCACGAGAGAAATAAATGTAGGCCATACACATAGTTCTCCCGGCCCGGGAATCGAACCCAGGACCTCTATGGCAGTCCGTAGTAACCTCTATAGTTCGGCCACGGAGGCAGTTAAATTTATTAAGTCAGTTAAGTTTAATTTATGTAATGTAATGTAAGTAAAGATTGAATTGGTTTAAAAAGTTCTTAGTTCTTCAAACGTCATTCACTAATGATGTATTAAATTTCGAAAAACTCACAGGCCCAGATTCGAACCCACGGCCTCTGTTTGAGAGGTGATAGGTCAAACCATTAGGTTAACACGGTTTACTGTGCCAAATTTTAAAACTGAATATCTGTTCTTCCCATTGTGATTTTTTCTACTATACCTAAACGCCCCGACCTTTCCTCCCAATATACCTGAAATTGTAAGTAAGATGATCAGGTGGTATATGATAATAATCCATTTTTCCTACCAAATCATCATAATTATCCATATGCTCTGTTGAATCCGAATATGGCAACAGCAACATTTGAACATCAGAGTGGAAACCGACGTATGCTCGCAGGTTTTCTAACGTCCTGATGTATTCAGAGAGAGATCGGGTTTCTATTTCTGAAAAGGGTTCTTTTCCTGCGTAGGTTTGGTAATCGCACGGGTCGCTTGAGGCACCACTTTCTGCAATCAAGGTTAAGATAAACGTACTATCAGAAGTAACGTTACATTAGAATATAAAGAGACACAGAGTAAAAAGCGCATAACTAATACATTTCGAGAAGACCCTTTATATGTTAATTATTATAGGTATTTTTTATGGCATGTATTCAAATGGTCATTTTAAATTTGCAAAATCAGCAGGCAAAATAATCTAAACGGTCATCGTTTTTAATGATTGACCCTTTTTCTCTGAGACATAAATTAAATCAATGTATGTGTTAATCTGTTCTGAGCTAATGTTTAACTTGTATATTTTTTTTAATAGTTTCATGTTGCCTTATAATATATGCCTTAAAACTAAGACAATTGAGCATAAAAAACCTGAAACCATGTTCAGAAACGCAAGCAAATTCGCTTCTGTCACTCGCCGGCTTATAGCTATGCTTAAACATCATGATAGTGTTACCTTGAATGTAGTTCATTTATAATTTATCTGTAGATCAACCAATATAGACGGAAGAGTTAATATACCTACATATCAAACATAAAATAGTTGTTTGTTATGCGAGGCTGCGACGTCGTTGTTTGACGCGAGTGTTTATATTGAAACCTGACGTTGTTTGACGCAAAACAACGTAGCTGCCGAGCGAAACACACTTTTTACCTCACTATAGCGAGGAAAATGGTAGATGAAAGAACAACAGTTAAACTATAACAAATCAGTTTTAATAAACATAATTAGTTATAGTTGTGAATGTAATGACAACAATAATAAGAATAAAAAAATTACCAACGGATTCATATTACTTATATAACCCTAGAAAGATAACCTTATTTTAATGTACACAAAAGATAACCATACGCTTCGGAGGCGCATGACATATATATGATTTTTATTTATTTATTTACCTGCCTATTTTATTTACTGACCTAATTATTTGAATGTCAGGTTAATGAACTAATAATAAAAAACATTTTTTAGGGAAATATTAATATATTTCAAAATTTAAACTTAATTCAGTAAACCTCTATGAAAAATGTAACAAAATTAACAGTCTTCTTTCTAAATAGGTTTTTTTTTAAAAATACTTCGTTTCTTACAAACTAATTAAATCACTTGTTACACATAACAACTATAACATAATCAGCCTTAGTAATTAGTTTTTATTTGGCAAAAATTTGGTTTAGAGGCATTCATAACAAACATCATTTTTGTGCTCTCCACAAATTGTTTTTTTGCATTTGGCGCACGTCATCTTCGACATTCTCTTCTTTTTACTTGTGCAAAAGGCGCAATACCGCCTTTTCTTAGCTGGAGGTTCTTCTTCATCCTCAGCGGAGTTCTGCACAGCTGGTTTGGGTAGAATATTTTCAATATTATCTCGAAGACGTTTCGGCAAAGTAGGAGCTTCAAGTCTAACTTTCATCCATGGTTCTGATAATTTGGTACTGAATGTTTTCATGTAATTTCTTCTATTTAGAGGCTTTTCATTTTTCGAAAGGACGTTGTGACAATATATGACGTATGAATTGACAAAAGCCATGTTCAGTATGCCATATAGCATAGTCATGGGCCATCTGTTTGTCTTCCTTGAGCAAGACATGTTGGAGCAAATTTGGTCAAAAGTGTCCACCCCGCCTTTAGTCTGATTATAAAACATGATCATTTCAGGTTTACCGGTTGTTGAGTTGATGACACCTTCTTCATCACACGACGATAGGAGGTACACCATCTTAGAGGGTTTCGGCTTGTACGAGACCAGGGTCAAATTTCTATCAAAGCAGAACATCGACGTGCCTACGGCTCGAGATCGGGTATTTTTCAACTCTTCGGGAATCTCGCGTTTATTGGATCGGATTGTACCAACAAGAGTCAGTTTGTAAGGTACCTGAAGAAGAGATTTTGCAAGAGGAACGGAGGTGAACCAGTTGTCACAAGTAATATTCCGGTTTGTACCATGCAGGGGCCGAGATAACTCTTTAAAATAATATTCTCCTTGTGGCAATCCATTGGTATTCGTAGCTCTCCCAATATACGGCATTGCATTCAGCATATATTTTGTTCCGCTGTCGCACAACATAGGGATTTTAATCCCATATTTATTGGGTTTATTGGGGATATACATGCGAAATCGGCACCGTCCTCGGAACGCCAACAATTGTTCGTCGATTGTGACATGCTCCCCTGGTGTATAATTCAATCTACATTGAGTTATAAACAATTCCCATACTTTTCTGATGAGAATGAAAGGATCTTCTTCTCGCAAAGATGCCCGAAGAGACTTGTCATCAAACCTGAGGCACCTAATCAGAAAATCAAAACGATCCCTGCTCATCACTGTCACATACCTTGTTCCCGAAAAACTACTATCGAACAGCTCTTCAGTAGACAAGTGATTGTCTTTCATAGCAGCACTCAAGGTCAGTATTCCAAACAAAGCTCGAACTTCTGCCTCAGTCGTATCTTTGAAAGTAGCTTTAGTCATGTTATCATGACGTTTTACAGACATCTCAACATTCGTCCAACGGACGATCTCATCTACTATTTCGTCCGTGATAAACAAATTAAAACATAGTAGTGGATCACTTATATTGCGACACATGCGCGTTGGACCTCTGTTGCTGCGAACTATATTTATGGCAGATATCCTCCCACGACTTTGTCCTTTAGTAGTAGACCAGCAATATTGGTTCTTACCCCTAATCACGCGGCGGGCAGGAATAATTATTCGGCGATCATGACGTGATGTTTCGGAAGGTTCAGGGTTTTCAGAAGTTACAGGCGGTGTCACATCGTCTTGATTTAGAGTATCAATAGAATCTTCCAACGGCTCGTCATCGATAAATTCGTCTTCCTGATCACTCTGTACGTCATCAACGCTCAAATGATCTTCAGTCTCACTGTCACTTTCCTGGCGCTCATTTTCTTCATCTTGAGCCACCAATGCAAAAATATCATCATCGGTTAATATTCTTCGGCTCGTCATAGTGAAAACGCATCGATTTTATACTAAAACAAATAAAAAAAACAATTTTCTAAACTTTTTATGTAAATGTAACTCATATCTTACTTTTCCCCAAAGTCACACAAAAGATAACTATGCGCTCCTGGAGCGCATCGCCTAGCCATAACTCCAAAAATATGGTACTTACCGCATCAAAACGACCATCCCACGACGCGGCGAACCGACTACTAAGCTAACAGAAAAGGTCAACTGGATACGAACTCTCGTTAGAAAGAGACAGCGAATGAAACTGCGCGCGGGCGCCTCTGAGGCGTAGGTTATCTTTCTAGGGATAATGTATGACAAATCGCATATTTGAATGTGGTGGAATGTATCATTGTTTTTTTTTCATCGAAAGAAAAAGTTAGGTGCGCCAAAGTCCATTGTTAAATTCGAATTTCAAAAATCTTTTCCACGAACATTTATAAGGAAAGTCTTTCCGAGCCAGTGAGGTGAAAAAAATATTGTTTATTTAAAAGAGCGCACGTTTACAATAGATCTCTTATATTTTTGAGGATCAAATAAGATTACGGCTTTTTTAATTTAGCGACATCTATTGGTAATTAGAAAATACTAAGAATATTATTAGAATAGAACTAACGTGTTTAGGTTCATCAAACTGGTTTTGACGAGTTTTAGCTTAAAAAATTTTGAATTTTATTGGAGTACCCTGTTTAGTATACTAAATATAGCGCTTTAATTTTAATTTGATAAGAAAAGATGACATCAGTTTAATCGAATCGCTTTCTTACCGACTAAAATAAGGAAATTAACAGTGCAAATCAGTATGTAATATGTATAAATCATGAAACAACTTGACAATGGTACTTTTTCAAAGTCAAAGATTATTTATTCCATAGGTAAAATAAAGTTACACTTGAAAACGTCACATTTAAGCTACTGCTCGTTTACTACGCTGACCTCCCTGAGAAGAACGAGCAAGAAACTCTAGGGATTGCTCTTTTCAAATAAACTTAAATGCTATGGAATACACTTTGAATCAAATTTGTGTGGATTCTGGAGCCGTGTCGTCTTTCCGTACATTTTTATCTAACACGTAGTCTTTAATTTTGTAATATGATTTTTCGATCAAAATATTTTTAATGTAGTTTTTAAACTGAGGAAATGATAAACTTAATATATGCTCCGGAATCTTATTGTAAAAACGTATACAGTTCCCCATAAAAGAGTTGTTTACCTTGGTTAAACGAAATGTGGTACCATGAGTTTGGACTTAGCTCTAAGTTTAATATTATGGATATCTTCTTTCTTATTGAAGTTATGTATATTTTTCCGGGCATATAATATATTTGAGTAAATGTACTGTGATGCCACAATCATGATACCAGTCTCCTTAAACTTGTCTCTGAGGGAAACCCTTTAAAAACTTTAAAACCTTTGAAAACTTTAATAAGTAATACCTTTCAATCCGATTGTAGAAACAATATTCTATCTTTTTTTATGATTGACAAGTGACGGGACAAATAGTCGTGCGCTGATGGTAAGAGAAACGCTTGTGTCTGTTACAGTTGCAGTGCCTCTCAGAGCTTTAAACAAGAAAGATTTGAGGGTCCCTTGTGCCTGTAATTTCACCAGCACCCTAACCCTTCAAAACCGAAACGCTCTGATCACGTCACTGTGCTCACGTTGCTGCTTGGCGGCAGAAATAAAAAAGGTGGCAGTACTTCACAGGACAAACTTTTTAATAAGGAGCTCTACATAAAAAATAATTTATAACCCACAGTTACAAAAACAGCTCGCTTATATTTAAGCATCAGCACTTAGAATAATAATGCATAGAAACCTAGTCCGCACACGCTAAGTGAGGCAAATTGAAGCGCTCCCAATGGGCCTACACGAGCGGGCGGGCCGTCAGTGCTCAAGGTCAACTTGCACCGCGAACAGCTCAAGAATTTTAGCTAAAAATGACGAAATGTGTGGTAAATGAGTGTAAAAATACGTCAGACAAACATAAAATAGATACAAACATCACATTCCACAAGGAAGTAACGCGTTTCAACTTGTATTTTTATATAAATATTTACTAAAACCAGCCTACGTGAATTTGATTTTTGCCTCACTTGTGACAGTTCGTTTGACATGAAACTATCATTCTATGCGTTATTATTCTAAGCATCAGCACTACATTATAAAAAACAGGAAAAGTATAGTTGTTTATGTGACTATTACATAATGAAAGGTATTAAAATACGAGTGTGGGTTTATATAAAAACATCACGCGGGTGTTTTAATGTCTAATTATGTACAGTTACATACACTGCTTTATCTGTATAATTATAAGCTCTCTATTATGTGTTCAGGCACCGCATGTTACGTCTGACGAAATGGCGGCAAATAAAAACATTTCTCACGCATGTCACACAACTGTAGTTTTTATATAATTCATAGATAAACTAGAATCAGCCCCAACTATCATATCGTTCCTTATCAAGTAACGTGTGAAATTTGTCAAAATTGTTCGATATTGACATTTCATTTTGAATAAAACTTCATCTCGGCTGATATTAGAATTGAGGTTGAATCAAATTTTTTTGTTTTTCAGAGATGTTCGAAATTTGAATGTAATAATAAAATCGAATTTGATGTTACACAGATACATTTTCACAGATAAGAAATTTGTTCTAACAAAACAGTTTATCTTTAAGCTGGTCGTAATTTGCGGTTTTTGAAAACATCACAGAGGGTTTATGTATGTGTGTAGATATAATATATATTTAATAGATTAAGGCGTTACATTGTGGAAATCCAAGTTGATAAAAATGGAATGACTTTATTGCACTATATAAAGTGGAGATTTTATTGACTTTTTGGGGTACACTATCGGGAGATTTTAAATTTTAATTTATGTATTTTTTTACTTTCGAATCAACCAGAATCGAAGGTTTTTTTTTCTTAGATCTTTATACTAATAATTATAACATTTTGTAATCTTTAAATAATAAAACAATTAATAATATTATAGATGCCTTTTTTACAATACTTTAGAAACTATTTTAATTTTTTAAATTCAAGGGACAAAATTTTTTTTTTGTGATATCGAGTGACGGGACGAACAACTGGTGCGCTTGGTGGTTAGCGACACGCCTGTCCATGACAGTTGATTTACAGAGATTTGTAGGCCGCAGCAATGCTCACAATACTGCTGGGCGCCAGAAATGGGTAACGGGACAGCATTTCCTTGGACGAACTGTTTCACAAGATACCTACTGCTACTAAACTATGAATCAGCATGGATAATTATCGGATGTATATTGGAAAATTATCAAAGGAAATGAATCTTGATAATTTCGAACCTTGGATACAAATAATACTGTTATTTAGCTCTTCTTTGCATAGACCTTACTATAGGCATGAAACGTAGAGAAAGAAAGAGACAAGAGGTCGACCAACGAGAGGTAGCTTTTAGGTAGAAAGGTTAGCAAACTGTAACAAAATTCAAAATGAATGTGTTTTCAAGTAAAAACAAATATACTTACTCATCCAATTGTAGTCCCAGTTGCGGTTGGGATCCGCACCCCGACAACCGTTTGCGGACTTGGAACGGGTTTTTCTCCACATACGATCCTATTGTTATAAAAACAATTGCTGTTGCGGTTATAATGAACGTAAAAGCAAGCGGCCGTTTCAAAACTAATATGTTGTCTTTATTAAGAGTGGACATAAGGGCGAATTCCAATTATGTCGTACAGTTTTATTTATCCTTGCACGACTATCGCGCCTGTTCACATCACGCCTATCTGTCGATTCTGTGTCGTGTACATTTATTTTATCGTTGAACGACTGTCGTGTCTAGGAGCTCTTACACATAAACACGATACCACGTCGGGTCCTGCTACGACGAGCAACGTAAAAATTCACGATACGATATCACAACGTGTCTGAGAGATTATGCATAAATAGAAGAGTTGAAAAATTTCACATACATGTATATAATTTCATACTTTATTTGTCTTATGACTTTCATGTGATAATAACACCTGGTGCATGACCACACATCAGGTGATGCATGATACATAGTGATCACCAGTGATCGGAATTGAGGGAATTAATTTACCTAAAGTATGAACGTTTTCTTATTGTGGACGTACCAATGTCGTTACTAATGCGTATAAAATTTCTTTTTTACTGTTTGATTTCTAAACATTCCAAATATAGGTTGTCGCATGTTTATTTTTTAAATGGCTAAAGTATTTAAATACGTAAGTACCTACAAAATACAACTACAATGTTATTTTTTGAGACAATAACAAATACTTAATACAAATGCTTAATAGGAAATAATAATTTGTCGCCTTTTTCTCAAATTTCCATAGATAATATGCATATTCAAATATAATGGCGTATTTACACTGAGCCGTCAGTTGCCTTCGGCAGACTACTTCGCCCTCGTTTCGGTCGACTTCGGCCGCAAAATACCGCCGTCGTCAGACGACTCACTATTTACAGCTTCGGTGGGCAAACGGAGGTCGCCTGACGACTTGGTGTAAATGTGCCATTCCAAGTGGTAAATTGTATATCTTTGAGTTTGTTAAAAGGCAATACAGTCGTAATAAAAACATTCGGACTATATTTTAGCTGGTAATTATGAAACAAAGAAAGTTCATTAAAAACATAGACCTCCATAAAGACATATGTTTTAGCATGTTCAGTTTACGAGGAACTAAAGATGAGTTACAGCCTCATTTATTTTATGCTTTGAATCTAAGTTCTCAAACATTGTCGACCTCGGTGGCCCAATGGTTTGTACTGTGGGCGCTGGATCAGAAGCTCCTGGCTTCGAGTCTGGGTTGGACCAATTTAGGAAATAAACTTTTCTTAATTACTTCTGGATTGGATGTTCTGATAGTGCCCCGGAGTTAATTCCGTTGCTCTGGTACTCACAGGGAATAGTAGTTTGAGACCAAGTAATATGTGTGGTTTTTCGGTAAATTTATATTTATATCTTCGATGAGAGATCTGTAACACAAGCTTCTGCTGTCTGTCGGTACCTGTCTGTCCCTAACATAATCTACTCGTATTATAATTTTTTTGTTATGCGAGGAAAAACAATACGAATAATATCCAGCTAAAGCATGGTCGCAATTATTTCGTTATAGCCTGTATACAATTCCATTCACAAAACTTACAAATTTGCGGCTATATTGGTAGCCATCAGGGTTGACAGAAGGGAAGATATGCCAGTCGAGCTGATCTCGCATGGCGATGATATGAGGATCAGAGCTGGTCAGCAGCTCGTTGATGAAGTAGGTCGTCGTAGCGGGAGCGATCCATTCGCGAGCGTGGATGCCTGAATATTCGAGTATACAGGGTAAGTTTTTATTATCGGTATTAACAACTTTGGCTTTTTGGGGATCGCTTTCATGAATCTAAAAGAAAATTAATTTTGTAGAAACTGTCGGACGCATTAAAGAAATCACCGATCAGATGTAAAAGTAAGCAGATAGAAAATAAAATGAAATAAAATAAAATTTATTTCACAAAACATGTTTACAGTTTCAAATTTACCACGGTCCTCACACTAGGCAAGCCTGAATCGTGAGGTCACAGACATACAATTTTCATACATTACATATTAGCCTCTAAAAGGAAAAGAAATCGATATAAAAATAAATGTGATAAATATATATTTAAAAATATGAACAAGATTTTCTGCAATTTTATAAATTAATAAAATCAATAAAATAAAATGAAATGAAATGCTGCTACAACATACAATTAATAAAATTTTCAACAAAATCGTAAGACAAATCAAGCAACCAGTTCTGCAGTACACGTTTAGCGTCGAATACTGAACTGAGTTTTATGTCACAACATCTAAGGACGTTGTTGTATAGGAATGCGGATAGAAACGGGTGAAATCTTTTAGCAAAAGAATTGTGTATGATACGGAGCTGGACATGAAATACACGTTTTTTGATCAAAGCACTGTAGTCATTTGATCGAAGCACTTGCATGTTTTGATTGCAATCTTAAGAGCGAAGAGCTTGCAAACGCTGAGAAAACCAGCCTCCTCGTATAGCCGCTCAAGCGATGCGCTCCTCCTACCGCAAAATGGCGGCTATTTCATTTCGCAAATTAGAAAAGCATTCAGTTTAAATACAAGTTTTTATAAATAAAAATTATTATTCTGCATTGCTAAATAAATACCCTCCGTACTACCAACAAAAAGATCTCAAATAAAATGCAATAATACACCGCAAATCCTGCTCTTAAAAAGCACTAATGAAATTTTTGGTGTACTTGGATACATATGACAATATTCCGTTTGAGTGGTTCTAACGTTTACCATGAAATTACTCCTTAAAGTATAGTTTATAAACATTTATATTCAGGGTAAACTTAAAAAACGCTACTTACGGTATGTTTTCAATAAATAAACACCGAAATCACCAGCCCAAACAATAACACACACGATGGTCGTGACGTATTTTTGAAGTTGTTTATTTTTTTTTTAAATGACAGACCCAGGCATTAATAACTTTATGGTTTGCTAGTGTAGTTACCGAAATAGCAAATAATATTAGTTCTTTTACCTGTTATAACTTCGATATTCGATAAATCGGTATAAAATCATCACCGGCACCTCTAGGTATGGTATGCGTCTACGGCTGCATGTATCGCGTGAGCGGGTATGACTGCGGTCGGGTAACGTCGGAGCTTTTTCAGCATAGTTTTAAGAATACATCGTTGGGCTCTCTCTACTTGTAACAAGTGCGTTTTCGCTGCACCACCCCAGCTAGAAATGCGAAACGTAAGAAGGGACTAACAAAGGGCGCAATAAGTCATTTTTAGCACCACCGGCGTAGCTACATCCCGGAGCATTCTTAAAATATTTGCCGTTTTTCTTACTCGACCCGACATGAAAGCTATGGGGCTGTCATATTTAAGTTTATCATCAATAAGAATACCAAGATACTTAACAGTATCGGTTCTGCTTAGACCTTCGCAGGAGCACGCCTACTCCCTTCTATAACATGTGTGTGCTATAATAGAAGGTAGTGAAAATGGAGCTGTTGATGAGGTCTTATGAAAGCAGATGTTCTGAGTCTTTTTGACATACAAAGATAGACCATGTCGGGCACCGTGGTTCCATGAAAAGTCAGTACCATGAAAAATGATTGATATCGTTCATGAATATAATGAACAACGTAGGTCCCAGTACGCTTCCTTGTGGGACGCCGAAACCAAAGTCACGAATGTCGCTCACATGTTGGCCAACCCTCAGACATTCCTTACGATCAGACAAATAACTCTCAAACCATTCAAGAGCTGTTCCTCTGATCCCGCAACCCTCCAGCTTCCTCAAAAGTATTGGGATAGAGGCGGTATCAAATGCCTTGGCTAAATCCAAGAACAGGCCGATGCAGCAACGTGAACCGTCCAAAAGAGACGCCACCACAGAAGTCAACAGGGACACTGCATCTTCAGTGGAACGACCATGCCGAAAACCATATTGCCTATCAGATAGAAGTTTGTTAGACTCTAGGTAAGTTAAAAGTCTTTTATTGACAATTTTCTCCAATAACTTCGAAAATACTCCAAGAAGAGATATTGGATGATAATTGTCAGGCACATTTTTGGGGCTGTGTTTATATATTGGACAAACTACAGCCGTTTTCCAGATTTGCGGGAAGATACCAGGTGATAGGCTCATGTTGTAAATTGTAGTTAGAGGCTGAACTATCGAGTTTTGGATAGTTTTGATAAAAATATTACTAAAGGCATCCATTCCTGAAACCTTGTCATTGTGTAATAGTTTTATGAAAGATTCAACTTCTATCTGTTGGTTGCATGAAAAAAGAATTACTATTCCCATAGGCATAGCAGCGGCAAGGTGTTTCTGATCTTGATTTAGTGAAGAGAGAATATTATCTGCCAGGTTTAGACCAACCGTAGTAAAATAATCATTACTTTAATTAAGAAAATGTTTCATGTCCAAACTACCCGGAATAGTTGTAATTCTACCATAAGGTACTCACAGATAAAGTGACGATACAGCTGTAGTAACGCACACGCACACACTCAACATAGCCCCGCATTAAGGAAACTCTGTGTCGCGGGTGCCATGGACTCACACATAGGCAACCACAAATGATGCCTAAACTCACGAGACAAATAAATGTAGGCCATACAAATGTTTCTCCCGGCCCAGGAATCGAACCTGGGATCTCTGCGTGGCAGTTTGGTATGGTAGCCGTTAGGCCACGGAGGCAGTTAGCATATGGTACGCCTATAGTAAACCGTGACACGCATGAAAGCAGCCACCATGCAATCCCATAACGATTCTTGGATTTTCAGCCAAGTGGAAACAAGGATTTAAGAACTAAGTTCCTATTCAAATATATCACACAAACCAACTCAACAGTTTTAAATGACTTACGTGTTTTAGAATATAAGTCAGGCCATCTATTGGCAGCGCTTGGCACTAAATGCGTAATACTGGTGTTACAGTTTTCCATGAATATGACAGCTCAATTTTATTGGTTTCAACACAAATATTTCACTATAATGTTTAAGTAAATAACGATCTCAGCGTCTATATGAACACAGCTATGTTAAGAAATTTTGTGTCTCATTTATCTGTGAAATCAATTTGTATACTATAAACTACTTTAATTGGGTCTATATTTGAGAATTTCAGATACATTAAATATTCATAAACCGAGTCTGAGAGTTGGAATCTATGATGTACGTCGTTTAGTGCTTTCCTTAGGTTAATATCACCTGATTCAATAAAGAAGACTGGTTTCCCCTTCTTGTGAAGTGAAGGAGAGTTGATTCTTAACCCGAGAATCTGTCTGCCTTCATAGCTCTGACCACCTATTATCAGTTCCGTCATATTGGGGTACTCTCGGCTCATGTTTCGCAGGTAGTCGTGAATCTATGACATGAAAATTTAAACTCGTAAGTGTAAGTATTTGTTCCTAGTCTAAATAAAATTTCTGCGGGTCCGAGGTAAATCAGACCTGGAAAAATCACATTTTCATTTTGAATTTGCATTGGTAACATAGGTACTTCTAACTTACGTCAGCAACATCATGATATGCATGCCACGAAAATCCGTCATTACGAAGAATTTCGCGTTTTTCCATCTCGATTATTCTGCAAGAATAATTTCAAGGTTTCTTATAAATATACACACAATACTATGAAGAAATTATAGATCTCCACTCACGTCATTCATAACTTCACCACTTTCATTAGTGTAAGTGAAAATAATACCATGTCAATGTAAAAGGATAAAGCGTAAAATGCTTTATAGATAGAGTAGGTTCCTAATAAGAGCGAATTATAATAACGCACACACTCAACATAACGCACACACTCAACAACAATTATAAATAAGTAACAAAGTAAAGAGCACCATATTTAGTACTCAGACGCCAAAAATGTGAAGAAATATGGACAGATTGGTGTAAGAATAAAATGCAAATCATGATATATAGGGTTGACCAAAAAGTCCGTGCGATACCAAACTATAAATGAAAAACATTTAAAAATAAACATAATTTTTTTGCCCAATTACCCATTTAAATGATACAGCTCTCAGTGTCGCTTGGTAGTTTTATCGTCAGTAATAAAAATCTGGAAGGGCTACGTCAGACAAATACGGTGAATGAAGTAACACGTTCCAATCTAACTGCGATGGGTTTTGATAGCTTCGTAAATAGAAGATTGGCATTATCATGATGAAATACGGCGCCCTAACGATTCTAGGCTTTTTTCATGAACTTAAAACTTTCTATTCTATTCCTATTCTCAGAATGCGCGCTAAAATATTCTTATTAAATTGAGCACAGACAATATGACATTTTAAAAGAAATAAAAAAAATTGTTTAGCCAGTGACAAAAACCGCATGCCTTTTTAGACTAATTCGTTATATGACTAATTTTCGCTCAACTTTTATCTTTCCATCGACAACATGTTTTTCTGATATTACTGACACGCTGAAAGGAACAATATTGCACAGCCCATGAAAGTAATTTAGTATTAGAATAAAACAAAAATGTACGAACTTTGAATAGTCCTCCACCAAGAGTTCCATGTTTAAGCCTCTCATAGTAACCAGTTCCTCGAAAATTGACACCAGATCCGGCTTCACCAGAATTCCTGCTGAAGTTTTGTTGCCAGAATATACAAGAGCATCCTGAAATTAGCATAGTTTATAGCTCTAAATTTACAATATAATAGACTTACAAAATGGAAGGAAAGCTACAATGTAATACAAATATTTTATTGCACACAAGAATATGGATATAACAAAAAATGACAAAAGACAAGTACCACAGGTGACCTTATTGCTAGTTAGCAATTTCTCCATGTTACTTCCGGGTTACAAGATAATTTAAAAAATAAACACATAATTGAGGATGCCACAAAAGCAGAGTTAGTTAAATTACCGTGAAAGAACTGTGAATAAATTTGAAGATCATCTGCATGATGTGGCATGAGGAACTGAGGAAGTGGTGATGGAATGAAGATTGCAAATAATAGGGGAGATAAGACGCCCCCTTTGGTACACCAGCAACAACATTACGCCACGAAGAAGGTGAATCGAAGGCGAATCACAGCGAAGGCGCTGCCGACGCCCATGCAGGTAGCTTCGAAACCAATGAACTACTCCTAATTATATGCCAAGAGAAACTAGCAGCGCAAATAATATATCGAAACAGATGATATTGAAAGCATTACTGAAGTCCAACAATGTATAGACTAAAGAAAGATATTACATATTTGTCCTAATACGTATGTACACTTAGAAAAATTATAAATGTAAAGGGCCGACTGTATTTAATATTAGTTTTTGTAAATAGAATTTAGCGCGAGGTCTACTTCGAGCTGCGGGGAGTAAAGAAGGAACTAAAAAGCCATGAGCGCCCTAAAGACGTATGATGATAATACCACCTAATTTTGCTGCACTTCATATTACAACTGACGTAACGAGTAAATGTTATGAAAAAATACTATTGCTTTACTTACCTTAATTTAAACTTGTCCCAGCCTTAGTACGGTTAGTATTCGCAAAATCTTTTCATTGTTAAAGCTATATATTATTATATATTAGTACAAAAACCAGTTGAAATATTCGGACCTGTTTGTTACAACTTGTTCATTATTGTTAATACCGTGTAAGTGATAAAGTTCTGTTTAAGTTCCACGAAATCGCTTGACAAAGTTGCGCCTCCTTCATTAAAAGATATATCTCTTAGATCTCAGCAATTACATGGAATTAGGAAGGTACTTACATCGAATTCCATAAATTCTTTAATCAAATCCTTCACCCCATCTAGACTGGTAACTTGAAACAACTTATAATCCTTATACGTCTTATATTCTTCTACAACAGCACATTGCGAAAAATGCACAACTGAAATTACAAGAAAAATAAACTTTAGGAGATTCATTTTGCTAAATCCCGTGCCGCGTTTAGTGGCTTACAGCTACTGCGCTTTAAAATGATCACCCGCACTGTTCTAGTTATATATTAGGTTTGCATAGATAATAGCACATGCTTCAGCTAAGGTAAATATGCAATATTTTCTTGTTATGTACATTTTTATGTAAACACCAAAGATAACCGTCCACTTCGTAATAAGTTTTATTACACGGTATTGTATTCGTAAAATGGGAACTTAGTCATTATGTATGTTGGAAATTAAACTATTTCAGATCTAAATTGCGTACCTTTGTTTTTTCAAACCAACCAACGTTTCGGGCCATTTACAGGTCCCATGGTCACAGCTGATTATGACGGTAAAGTCATCAACAAGTTATGTCTCGTATTAATGCACACCAACCTACATTAACCTTACAAAAGATAGGTAGATAGATAGATATACACTTTATTACTCACACACAGGAACAAAAACAGTACATAGACATCTTAAAATCAATGCGGGCTAAGGCGGCCATATCGATTAGCGACTCTTCCAGACAACCTTTGAGATAAATGAAAGGTAATCAGAGCGGGATACGCAGTGTGCCTATTGCAAAATTTGAATTGCATAGACAAACAAAAATTAACATATTTTATCAAATAATAAATGACGATATAGTAGTATACTCACATGAATATTAGTATATATAAATATACCTAAATAAACTATATAATAAATACAGTTTAGAAAATGAAAAAGACTTTATGTTACACACATGCCTACATTTATTTCTCTCGTGAGTTTGGGTGTAATTTGTGGTTGTCTATGTGTGTGTCTATGGCACCCGCGACACAGGGTTTCCCTATTGTGGGGCTATGTTGAGTGTGTGCGTTATTATTATTATTGCCTTACAAAAATTACTTATGCAAATACCTACCTTATTTTTAATTTACCAAAGAACATTCCTATATACGCTACATACGTGTCGCAAACAATTCATTTTATGGATTTAATTTTAATTATATTTAAAAGGAAATTAGAATGAAAAGGGTGCACGAAAAGAGCCTACACGATGTACCCTCCTTTCCAAGGAAGTACTGCCACCTTACCTATTTCTGTCGCCAAGCAGTAATGCGAGCTGCGTTTCGGTTTTGAAGGGTACCTAAGGGTGCTGGTGAAATTACAGGCGCATGGGACTTATCAACGATTTTTTACGAAGAAATTCTTGATTCCCGACACTGCATGGATTGACGGACATTAACGTAAAAACGTACGAAGTTTGATCCTGTTTTGAATAATAAATTTATCAATTACATTCAGTAGATACAATCCAGAATCTCATATTAGGATCCTGTCTTGTCAGTTTATCGTGAAATGTTGTTAATTGTTATCGGCAACGTATATAAAATAAAATACTACGGCATTGTGAAATTACAGGCACATAGGACTGGTCAACTTATGTGTCAGAGTGACAGGCGTAGTGCCCCTCTGATCTTTATGATATAAAGCTTTGAGTGGCACTGCAACGACTGTTGTGGATAGGCGTGTCGCTTACCACCAGGCGACACGCCTATACATAACAGTTGGCTTGTTCGTCCCGTCACTTGATATTATCAAAACAAATTCTATGCAATACCTAGAAGAGTCGGTCAATTCATGAAATAAACTCTATTAGAAACTTAGTCTAGATATTCTATACAATATCGGACGTACATTAGGCAACGTCCAAAGTTTGTTATGCACAAAGCGGTGCTGTAACAGGAAGTGCTTGTGTGTTAATAAGAATATTTTATGCACGTCCAAGTGTCACAACAGTTCGATTTGTAAGAATAAAAAGGTAATTAGAAAAACTAGTAATTAAATTATACAATATAGTTGCAAAACTAATTAATTGTCAGCGTTCTAAGGGCCATATTCCAGAACTCTACTCAATGCTCAAATCAGGACTTGAGTATGATTTCAAGCACAGTTTTTATTCCAGAACATTATTCAAGCGTAGAATCTGTAATCGGAGTTCACCTGAGTAATGTCAGAGGAAGTGACAGCTTGCGTCTTTATTTTAGAACAATGCTTGAGATTTTTTTCAGATTTGCTGTAAAATATATCAATAATGAATATCATACTCAATTGCTTCGGATGTTGAAAGACCTACAAGGAACACAGATTTAAGCAGCGACATAGATTCAAACAAGATTTAGATGTAGGGGATCATTAAAATTAACAATTATTTTATGGGGAACGTAGGTATAGGTATGTTTTTATTACCGGAGCATGTTAAGATCACCATTTCCTAAGTTTAAAACTTAAATTCAAAGTAGCTTATAAAATGGCGTTTCAAAGTATAATATTTTACCAATAGAATAAATGATTATTTGATTTTGACAACTAGAGTGGTATAATTTAAACTTGTAAGTTAAAATCTAGGTAGTTTCAATAATACAAGCTTTATTTTGTTGATAGGCATATATCAACAAAATAAAACTGCCACGGACTGTCACGCAGAGGCCCTAGGTTCGATTCCCGGGCCGTCGGAGATATTTGTATGGCCTGCATTTGTTTCTCTCGTGAGTTTGTGATTTGTGGTTGTCTATGTGTGTGTCCATGGCACCCGCGACACAGGGTTTCCCTAGTGCGGGGCTATGTTGAGTGTGTGCATTATTATTATTATTATCAAGATTTAATAGTGTTTATCATTTGTTTCTGTGCGTTTTAGCGACAGCGGTTCCGATAGCAATCGAGGTTTATCTCATGTTTTTTTTTCTTCCGTGGTCTATGCAGAAGGTAAAAGAGCGCCAAATTTTTGTATTTATCTACACAATTAGCAAAATGACTTTTGTTCGAGAATCTTTTTATGGCGATTTCATTAACGAAAAACAAAACATTTTAAAATTCACAGATTCTGTTTTTTTAATATATAATAGACACACGCCTGGCCACAATCTCTCCTGATGTTAAGCGACAATGTGACCGACGATGGGACGCGTTTGCTTAAAAAATGCCTATTCACTTTAGCCTTGAATAGCCCCGAATTGTACTTTTCGGGAAAAACAGATACCGGTAGAGCATTCCTTTGCCGTGCGCATCAAAAAGGAGAAAGCAAAGCGCTTAGTGCGAATAGATGGAATATCAATGATACAAGAATGGAGTGCTCCGGACCTTCTAGTCGACCGAAGGAGGAATGGTGAGGGTTGAACTAAATTGAAAAGTTCCTGCCCACACTCCCCGAAATGTATCCGATAGAAAATCGACAAGTAGGCTACTTTTCTGCAATGGTCGAGATTTTGAAGCTTTGACTCTACACGAGAATTGTTGTTAATAAGTATCTTTGCTTTTCGCTCCACTGAGTCCAAGACAGCTAACTGGTAATGGGCAGAGCCGTCCCAAAGGTGGCAGCAGTACTCCATACACGATTGAACTTGTGCTTTATATAGATTTAAAAGATGTTCAGGTGTGAAGTACCGCCTGACTTTGTAAAGTATGCCTAGTTTTCTAGCAGCAGTTTTTGCCAAGGACTCGATGTATCGCCCAAAGTTGAGGTTGGATGATAAGTCCAGACCAAGTAGCTCAAAGTGGTCCCTTATCGGCACGGATACATTTCGGAAAGTCGGAGTAAGGTGTAGGGGACTCTGTTTTGATGTGAAAAGACATGCCTGTGTTTTAGCCGCATTAAACCTGACCCTGTTCGCATCTCCCCAATCGGAGGCCGCTTTCAGGTTCAGATTAAACCGGGTGACCATCGCCTCTCGTTTACACCGGATCTCTTCGCTGTTGTCTCGGGCGTCTGGCACATAACTCTCTACCACTGTGCTGTCGCCTGCGTACCCAAAGATACCGGGCATCATCAGCAGGTCGTTGGTATGCAGCAAAAATAGAGTGACAGAACCCTGAGATAAACCCGCATTTATACCATGAGGACCAGTCAAGTAAGCATCTACAATTACACGGATTGACCTATCCTTCAAAAAATCGCCTATCCATGTGCAAAAGCCAACAGGAATTCCGTAAGCTGGAAGCTTGTTTAACAGGTTATCGTGCCAAATCCTATCAAAGGTCTTTGATATGTCGAGAGACACGGCAAGCGATTCACCGCGTTTCTCGACAGCCTCACTCCATAAATGTATGGCATACGCAAGAAGATGCTCAGTAGATCGACCACGGTGAAAACCATATTGTCGATTACTGAGAAGATCGTTATCTTCGAGGTATCCAGGGAGACGGCTGTTCAATACACGCTCCATAGTCTTACAGAGTATTTACTTATGTTCCACGTCGATTCTACCTGGATACTTTCTATATTACCCATTTTTTAATATTACTTGCAACAAACCCATCTGCTAAGGTAAACTATTTCACGTACTGCGGGCGTTTTATTTATGTATAGACATTGGTATTCGACTGATAGCCCACTTTATCGCTTTGGCCTCATTTTTGTCTGAGTAATTGTCCACTGAGTAGTTTCGAGTGAGAGCTAACATGTGTCACGATTACAAATCACTTGAATATAACATTGAATTCTGATCCGTTTTTTAAATTAATTTTATTTATTTATTTGAATCAGGGAACTTATGGCCCATATAATATATAACTTAAGGACTAACATGATATAATATAAAAACGAAATAACTGATCTACACGAATTGTACTTCTCGGCGACGTGTGGCGCAATCTGGTGTCAGGTAACCGGCCGCGGAAACGTCGATATACAACACCCTTCGGCTAAAAGTCCTCCTTTATGAAGGTCGACAGATCTGCCGTCCGTTAAGTAAACCGGCTAAGTGACAAAATATTTTTTTGAGATATCATAAAAATCATAACCCAGTCTTAGAATATTGAAATTTATTAAATTATTAAAATTTTTATTGATTTGATATTCAATTATTTTTATATGTACTTACTCCACTAGTTTGTTATAACAATTAATACAAAGATCGAACACTCAGAAAAATGCTTAGTTGGTATAGTGTCTGGCACGGTATGCTAGAAGACGTCGTCGATTCGGATCTGGCTGAATCGAAGGAGCTTTTTCTGAGTGTTCGATCTTTGTATTACAATTTTAATTTAATTATAACAAGTTAGTGG